TGGTCCACCTTGCGAGAGTTACCAGTTATTGGGCTTCATTCTACCCAACTCCTCCGGTACCAGTTAGCATATCCCGGTTGAGTAATGCTCGAATGATCTGGGTGGTCAATATCTACCAATAACCATCTGATATAGCCCGTGCTGCTGGGAGGGGGGGGATGTTGTATTTGCCCTTAGGAGAAATGTTCCCAGACTCTCCCAATTTTTCCTGTTTCAAGTGCACTCTGTAGCCTCTCTCCACTTCAGTTTTTCACTTTTTCAGGGAGATATATGTGGAATTTTTAGAAAAAGATTTGCGGAAAAGTGGAAGGAAAATTAGGAAAAGGTAAAATTTGTGGAGTTGGCGGGCAGGATGGGAAGGGCAAGCGGGGAGTCGTACCAGGGGAGGCTTTGCTTCCAATAGCTAATTGTAACAGTTGATCGGAGGGAACTCAGGCAGCTTTTCTCTGAGAAATCGGTAGGGAGTTGAAAAAATTTGGAGAAATGAAAGGTAGCCTGTGAAAGGGGATCCTGAACGGTGAGTAATTTTGGTGGGAGGGGGGAGTTGGCGTACTGAAATGGCAGTTTTACCCATCGCGATGCTGCACCCTGCCTATACTATCGCCTTGCTGTTCAGGAATCATGTATTGATTCAGTCCAGAGCAGACCAGCCGCGGGAGACGGACAAGAGAATCGTAATCTGCCGCTTCGCCGCACGCGGCGTTGGGCACGGCATTCATTTAATTTGCATGACCCATCAACTGGACCATTGGATTCTATGTATACTAGGATATCGTAGACATTTATGGCTGTTTTTAATCATACGTTGTCTATTCTCGACCAATACGACCTAGAATCGTCGTCATTGGCGGGCGCGACGTCGCACGCGACGCCCACTGACGCGGCGAACTACGATTCTTTTGTCACATACCCACCAGCCGCGGATGCATGAGCGATGCACGCTTATTGATTAAATGGTACGCATCTCTGCGACGTTCTCTCTGTCGCTGGCGAGAACACTTGGCTTTGCAAGCGACCGATTTCGCTCCGAATATAATCAAAAGCAAGAGGGGGAGAGGTACAGCGAGCGCTTTCGCTTCCGAGATCCAATCGATTGCTGGTGGATTCCCAATCAGGTCCCTATCCCACAATGTCCAGCTTATACAAATAGCCAATGATTGCAAAAATTCAAGAACCGTGCCTGTGATCTTCACGAGTTCACCCCTCCTACCCGAATCCTCTGCCGTAAAAATGGCCCACAGAATTTTGTTGTCATCGTCAATTCTTTGAATACTTTAGTTCTCTTTCCAAGCACATTTAGCCCTGCCTATTTTCAGTGAGGTGCGGTGTCATCACATCACTTTGTTGAGTGTGTTGTAACCCAATTTTTTGTTCTCTTTTGTTCCAATACCTTGTTTTCATTCACTTATTTGTCTCAAACAATTTAAGTTAAAATTCATATCCCTCCATAATCAGTCTCGAAAAACTGCTGAATTTTAGTCGACGATACCTCAGATCCCGGATGAACGGTTGACCAC